GTGGAGAGAGTCAAAGAGGCCAGTCCTCCTATTAGGTTCGCCAGGGATGGATTAAGCCAAGAGCGAATACTGCTCCTTAACTTCCATTTTAAAAGTAACCATAATTTTCACTGAGTAGAGTAGAATAAGACCTTTTTGAATGTCTGGTCAGGAAAATGGCAGCAGTGGCAGCTAGGTTTTAGGCAGCTAAAACAAGGGGAAAAGCTATAGTAAATGAATCCTTCCTCCACAAATTTGAATATATGCCTTCCACAGAAACTGCTGTACCTTTCTTGCTTAATCTTTGCAGGTTTTTTTAGCTGGGCTCACCTCTATGCTCTTTATCTTTTTAATAGGGAGATAAGCATACCATGAATGGCCTTCATGGGTCATATTAAAATCCATACTTTTGGCTCCAAAACCTGCTCTTTACTAATACTTGAGACCAATTTATACATGAGTGCATATGATATAAATTTCGGAGCACATCATCCAACCACCAGCATAATAAATGAAAACTACTGGTGGAAAGGTTTCCTCTGTTTTCCTCCTTGTTTAGTGGACCTTAGTCCATAATAAACAAGTTGAACATTGAATCCTCAATTTATATTGACAGTTTGTCTGTTTTTGGAAGACTTCATATTTCTTTTTTTCGGTGAAGTGGAGATATCCTCTCTTGAATAATTAAAAGAGAAGAAAAATACAGCATCTCCCTCCAATCTTGTCTCTTAATAATAACTAATTACCTAGTTTGTTATGGCTCCCATGATGTGCAGCTGATGGTTAAAATCCCCATTGACTATAGTGGAATGTGCATCATAAACTTTTCAGTAGTGTGATTCGGCTGTATATCTACTTACTTGTCTAATTCAGCTTTCAGTTGTTATTGGAGGGCCAGACTAAGATACAGAGAAAGTGTGAATTATTGTTCAAATAGCAAAACATTTTTGAGGAAATGTGTGAAATTAATTAAGTCTAATAGAAGGTTTGCATCATATAGTTCAATATAATAACAGTTCCGGGTGTTTTTTGTTGGGTTTTTTGCTTAGGCATTCATCTTTAACTTTACTACTCCTGCCACAATATATTCATTCCTGTTTATGATTTCTCTTACTTTTACCAGAAGGCTTTTTAAATATATTTTTCAGTGTTTGCCAATGCATTTGCTAGCCTTGCAGGAAGGAGAGCCAGGATAAAATGTGACATGGGGCTTTACACCATGACAAAGAGTTGTGGACAGAGCCAGAGCTAATTTAAGGCCTTATCACTGAGCTTGAAAAAAAAAACCCACAGTGTGTTTCACTGGTCACTTATGGGCTGAGTCAGAATTTTTGCTCTATACCTTGGGATTTTTCTCACAGTATTTTTGACAATTGGACTAGAGTAGTATCTTAAATAGCTGATCACTTAGCAGGGTAGTGCAGGGAGATGTCTGCAGATATTGATGAAAAGCTATGTCTCCGAGGAGAGAACAAAAGGTGATCTATGCCTTGTGGGTCATCATTGACTTTTTCCATTTCTGATCCTCATTGGGTTAATGGGGCAGAAACATTGGGAACTTTAGATTGGTGTGACCATTTCCCCTATATTTTATTATATCGCAGAAAGTGGAAGTCAAGCATAGTTTAGCCATGTATTCTAGATTTTAAGAAAGCTGATTTCAGTAAACTTAGGTCAACAATGGGTGAAATCATGAGGACAGGACTACTTAAAAAGGAGGGAATTGGTAGTGGATGGGAATTTCTTAAATGTGAGATATTAAAGACACAATTTCAAACTTTTCCAATGAGCAGGAGAAATGGAAGATGTCTAAAGAAATGACATGGATGACCAAAGGACTTTTGACAGCTGAGATTTAAAAGTGACATGTACAAGAAGTAGTAAAGGGGGAAATAACCAAAGAAGAATTCAGACAGACAATACATGTAGGTAGAATATAAGAAAAGCTTGCTAGAGAGGTTAAAAACAATAAAGAGGCCTTTTTTGTTACATCTATTGCAAAAGGAAGAACAAGGAAAATATAAGGTCACAGGAGTTCATATAGTGATAAGAGGGGGTAGAGAAAAGGCAGAACTATCCACCACCTTCTTTGTCTTGATCTTCCCTGAAGAGAAAAATAGTGTTCAGCTGATGAAAATGTAGCAAATGATGAGGTATGGAAAATACAGCATAGAATAGATAAAAAGGAAGTACAGAAGTATCTGGTAACTCTCAATGAATTTTAGTCAACAGGCCCAGATGAACTAAGGGTATTGAAAGAACTGGAAGCAGTAATCTCAAAAACACCAGCAATAATTTGTGAAAATTCCTAAAGTCCCAGGAGACTAGAGGAGGGCAAATGTTGTCCCCTGTCTTTTAAAAAGGAAAATACTAGAGGACCCAAATAATTAAGACTCTGTCTGCCTGACTTTGACAGTGGAAGAGTCTGTTGGACACTCTTTCTCTGGATAGCTCTCCTCAGAGTCTTTTGGACTCTCCTTCTCTAGAGATGTTTAAACAGAGGCTGGATGTGAATCTGTTGGAAGTTCTTTGTGAATTACTACATGACAGGGCATTGGACTGTGTGGCTCTCATGATAGCTTCCAACTGTGTGATTTAGTTGTAGCCCAGCTACAGACCCTTTTGCTGCCCAGCTCAAGGAAAAAAGGGACCAGGCAACAGTGTTGGGATTAACTAAGGACACCTTTATTGACTGTTGTATATTTAATTGTTTTTGATAATAAGCAAATCTAAATGGAGGGGGATTTGTTGTGGGAGAGGTTGGTCTCCCCTGACCAGAGTCTCCAGCTTCCCCTGGACAAAAACACCATAGATGCTGAAAGGAATCCCAAAAATTCAGGCTCCCAGGCCCAGCTAATAAAATGGAAGACTAGCCATGGACTGTGGCTTCTGGTGAGGGTAAAAGACCAGAGATCAGCCCAAAGGATACAATATGTTTCCCCAACCCCAGAATTGAATGATATACAAGGGCATTTCCAAATTCCCATCCTGCACAAAATGTGTCAGTAGATGATATCTCCCCATAATACCTGCTATGGAACACCATCCTTAGCCAGTTGTTCAGTTCCGTATGAAAGTGTAGGGTAGGCGAAAACCCCTATAAAATAAGGGAAAAATCCTACCTAGCCCCGAAGCAAGTAAAGCTATTATACTGTGTCAGGAGATGGGAGGATGTGTTTAAGAATTCCAAGAAGAAAGATGGAGGGCAAAGCTGTCATTGGCTCATCCCAATCCCATCTCACATCATAATGGCATATTATATAACTGGTCTCCCTCCCCAGAAAGCCAGCAAAAGAGTATCCCACACCCTCACTGCTCTATGGTTTGAGGAATCAAATTGTTGAAAGAGACCCTCTAGTACTGCTTGCTTTGATCCTGTAAGCTAGGGTTGTGAAAGAGACTTTGAACTGGCCTGACAGTTACATCTTCACTATACTCTTGTGACTCAGGAAATGGAAGGAACCTCAGGTTGGCCTTCCAGTGGGCCAGAGAAGGAGCAATCCAGTATTCCTGTTCCACACTGGAGATGCCATGGAGAAAACTGGATGAAGACCACCTGCCTTTCCTGTTCTGATCCTCAGTTGTTCCAAGTTTTGCAGCTCCCAATGGGAATCCAATACTTAGTATAGAATTAAATGAAATTGCCTATTTAACAACCCACTAGTTTGTGTCGGTTGATCAAGAAACCTGTACCTGCTCACTTAATTGAAATACGTATCTATATCTATGTTTATATTATTCCTGGAATGTCCTAGATCATAAAAAGTGTAAAGATACAATAATTTAGGAAACTCTCCATTTAGATAATTTAACTAATTTGGTACATTAGAGAATTTTAAAAGGCAAAAAACATTGAATGACTATATTTTATATTGAGGGAAATTAAAAGCAATTAAGTATAGTGGAGGTCATTTTCAGTAAAATATTTTTAAGAGGGCAATTTGCTTGTGGATGTAATTTAGTCACTTGAAACCATAAAATGTTGTCTTGATTAGTTCCACTTCAAAACCCCTTTTATTCTAAACTCAGAATTCTCAATTTATAAACTAATGGCTCAGTAGCTATATAGCTCTATCCTGGTAGACTTTTGTCAGAGTGAGACCCTCCGGTCTGGCACAGCGAACTTGAGGTTTCCAAAACACACAGACTCAATTACCACACGGCATTCTTCTTCGGTTTCAAAATAATAAGCTTTACTGGAAGCATCTATATACAAGCGACTACATGTTGATGAGGAAAGATGGCGACTGACAAAGTACAGGACTAAACACACAGACAAAGAAACATCCTGCCCTTCTGACTTATCTGTCTACCAGCTGGTACACTCCCTATTTTTCTCAGAGCAAAGGAATTCAGTTATCACAGTTTCAAGGACTTTACTCTCTGGCCTATAACAATAATAATCTACTACACGAATGAACATGACTGAAACCATCTTGAATTACATTATTAACACATTGAAAAACATACATATAACATTTGCAATTATCCTGACAATCCCCCTCTTTTTTCAGTGTGGTTCAATAACTCTAATAACTCTAATACATACATGTGGTCTGCATAATTGTAACATCTTAACTCTTAAACATTTGTCTACTATTCTTAACTTCTATAATAACTTCATCATTCATTTGCTTCTCTTAACTTCTTTGCAATCTGATAACATTTCCATTACATATAATTACCTCTGTTTGTTTCTATTACATCTTAAACACATATAATAATTCTTTCTCCATGAATCTCTGCATTGCTTCGTTGTAACTTTTATACACACAATAATTTCTTCTCATTACATAATACATTCCTGTAATCTTATAATGTCTTAGTACATACAATCATATCTCATTCATTTGTTCTCTCAATTTTTCATTTTTTGTCTTGATACAAGCGTGTAGCAGTGAACAGGTAATCTAAAAATTACTTTGACTATGTAACAATGATGATGATGACAACAATGATGATGGTGATGCAAAAGAAAGCTTACCTTTCATTCTAACATGTTCTCTCCCTACTTTATTTAGGATGATTATTTCAGAAACTGGAATCCAAACAAGCCTTTTGATCAAGGTAAAATATTAGATTCTATTTGTTAAACTGTTTTGTGCTGTGAACTTTAAAACCACTTTTTATATTTATGGTTTTGGAATATTGGATCTGGTTATGCTACTGTTCCTAAATGATATATAGTGTAAATATTCAGAATTTCTTTACTGTCCAGATCAAAGCAAAACTAAAAAGTAATTGTTTTAGCTATTCCCATCATTGAGATTCAAAACTTGAAAAAATACCTGAAAATATTTTAATCAAATTCCTGTCTAACTTGCGGTACTGAAAAATGAGCTATGTCAACCTATGACTTATTCTGGGGTTGTGTTGCTGAAATCAACTGCAGTTTTGTTTTGGTTTTAAATTTGTTTGTTTTTTTTAAAGTAGATTGGATGTAACACAAATTATTCTGGTACTAATGATTTAGTACATCAAGATTGCTTTACAAAATAGAATGGTTTTGGAAAGTGCTTACTTATTTCCAGTTGTGCCATTTCCTCAAGCTAAACTTCTCTCTGATAGACAGATACAGATGCATAGGAGAAATGTGTTATACCATTTGTTACAGAACACAATTTGCACAAAAACAAATCACCTCTGTAATTCTGCTGATCAGTCAAAACAAAACAGGAAAGATCCTGCTCATAGATATTTGAACTCCCACAGTGAAATAAAGAGACCAGACACAGGAAAATGGATTTAAGGGACAATTTCCTGGCCTATTTCTTTATTTAGGACTTATGAAATAACCTGTGAGCTAAAACACCATTAACCTGTAAAGACATAACTCTTGAGACATTAGGCACCAAGTGAGAACTGTCCCTGGGACAAGTATCACTCTTCTGACCACTTTCCAAGATGTACGAGCACCCAAAGTAATCAATGTAAAAATGGAAGGAGGGACGGCTCAGCCTTAAGTAGACTGCCCCCATCATGTGATTAGGACCGGTGAAACTAATCAGCCCCAACTAACTCTGGCCTTCCTCATTGGGGTCCTCATTGGGGCTCATTGGGGCCTTTAAATACAACCCCCCACCCCACTCTCCCTGCGTGCCTTAGGTTTTGCTTGCCACCTGCAGATGGGGTTTGACATCAGACCTTGTTGGTTCAAATGGTTTGCAGTAGTATTGTGGGAGATCAGTCAAACATCATACTTAGCTCTTTACAAACATACTATACTAGCAATCTATATACATAAAAGTCAAGGTATGATTGTTTGTGTGTTTGATCCACAAAAGCTATTACATGGTTTGATGGATGTGGACCAAACCTGGCATGTATAACCTTCAATATACAACTTAAATCATTAGGAGTTTGAACTAAAACAGTGCCCTGTTTTGGGACAAGAGCCATCAAAATAAAATTTAAAAATGTATGTAGTGCTCAGTTGCAACCACATAAAGGGCAGTGTATAGACAGAAAAGATTAGCTATCAGCCTATTGGTATGTATGCAGGCAGCACTCAAGAGGTCAATATATAGATACAAAGGATTGGCTACTGGCAGACAAAATGGCATGCTCTGTCTTATGAGGCCATACCATGTGGCAAATAACACTGTGCTAAAGGCCAGTCATGGCATCCACCCAATAAGGAAGTAATAAATTTAATGAAGATTTGAAAAATTGATATTTTGGAATGTGTGTGCATGTGTGTATTTGCATGTACCTTGCTCCAAAGCTAAAAGATTGTGACTTCCAAGAAAATGCTGGCTCTGGTACCATTTAGGTGGTTAGGCCATGAAAAAGATCCAGTATGAGATGTAGAATGAGGCAAAATACACACAGCCCTGACATCCATGGCCAGCCAACACTTTTTCCTTTTTTTTGTATTAAAACATATTTTGAAAGGGGAGGTGATGGCAAACAGAGGTTGTGAGAGTGTGACTCAAGGTCAAAAGAGTTTACTTGCTTGAGGCAACAATTTAAGAATGCATTTCTGAGACCACGACTCACTCAAGGCAACCATTCATTAATGTACATGGTGTTGGTCAATATTTACCAACTCCGAACGCATCTCCACCTATGAACCGACTAGGACATTAAGATCGTCTGGGGAGGCCCTGCTCTCGGTCCCGCCTGCGTCACAGGTGCGCTTGGCGGGGACGAGAGACAGGGCCTTCTCAGTGGTGSCCCCTCRGCTATGGAAYGCCTTGCCGRMAGACATCAGACAGGCACCTTYGTTGCTGKYRTTTCGGARAAAGSTHRAGACCTGGCTTTATGAACARGYRKTTGGTTGAACAGTGCAAYYAATCAARGAAGAYGGTAAATGGAACATAGGAATGGCACAAGGATTATGAGAACGGATCTGATTTCACTGAGGCGTTATGTTGTGTGTGTTGAYTGTCCTGTTMTGTTTTGTTAACTGTTGTGGATTGAYGTTGTTGATCCTGTTTGTTGCACTTGTTGCGTTTTAATTGCACTGACACTGTTAATAATTTGTACCATGTAAACCGCATAGAGTCGCCTGTCTGGGCTGAAATACGCGGTATAGAAATAAAGCAAATAAAGCAAATAAATTTACCTAGTGTGGTCCAGTGTGCAGTTTCTAATGCTATTTATTAGAAATAGTTATTGTTAACTTTACAGTTTTATTGTTTTCTCATTAGAAAATATATTTATACATACTTAAACTAGTAAAATATAAAAAGCACTACACACTGATGTGGAACTCTCTGTCCCGGAGTGTGGTGGAGGCTCCTTCTTTGGAGGCTTTTAAACAGAGGTTGGATGGCCACCTGATAGGGTGCATTGAATGCAATTTTCTTCCTTCTTGGCAGGGGGTTAGACTGGATAGCTCACAAGGTCTCTTCCAATTCTATGATTCTAATAATTATAACATTGAGAAAGAAGTGTCAGGGAAATTCCTTTATGTGTTTTGTACAGTGCCTAGATTCCAAGTATCATTTCCCATAGATATCATGTGGATCTTTCCGTTTGCACAAGAATGCTATCATGGAATCCTTACTGCAAACATGTTCTCACTTGTCTCACTTGTTTCCTTATTTCAGTTTCTGTAATTGGGGGAGGGGGGGGCTGTCTCATATACTATAGACATGTTTGTCCACATGAATAAATCTATCTCAACATCTTTTCTTGTATTTACATTCTTTTCTTATTGCTGCATTTCCTTTTTCAAAATCTTTGTTGTTCAAGATGTCTACAAAAAATGTCTTGCTTTGATTTTTCAGTGTAAAAAACAAAGGTCAGTGTTAGCAATGCTGTCATGGTATAACTGAAAGACTGTGGTGCTAAATAGGATTGTTTCATCATGAGTGTAAAAATCTCTTGGGGTAAAGGGTATACTCTTCAAATGTTCTAAAGCAGGGGTCCCCAAACTTTTTAAAAAGAGGGCCAGGTCACTGTCCCTCAAACTGTTGAGGGCCAGATTATAATTTTTAAAAAGCATGAACTTTTAAAAACAATACAATAATTAAAATGAAGAACAATTTTAACAAATATAAACTTATTAGTATTTCAATGGGAAGTGTAGGCCTGCTTTTGGCTGATGAGATAAGATTGTTGTTGTTGTTGTTGTTGTGTGCTTTCAAGTCATTTCAGTCTTAGGTTGACCCTGAGCGAAGGCCGCGTAAATTACCTTGGAGGGCTATATTCGGCCCTCAGGCCTTAGTTTGAAGACCCCTGTTCTAAAGGATAAGATTTCAAAAATATCTTTCTCTCCTGAATGCTACATAAAAATGGGAATGAGGAACAAGCACTGCAATGTAGTACATAAACTGAAGGTTATAAACTGGGAAAGCAATTGTGAAATCTACGACTCAATGAAAGCAATCTAACTAAATGATGGCATCAGTAAGGTGCCATCTACTATGAGAAAGGTAAAATAGAAAAGGAACATGTAGGCTGCCATAATTTATAGATTTTGTCTCTCTAACTGTGACATGTGTCTGGATTTCTCAGAGTTCCCTTCCTAGTCCACCCAGCTCAGTTTTGATCAGGCTACATATATTGAGGGAAAGTAATATGACATCTCTTACTTATTGCTGTGACCAGCCATAGACTTTTCAGATAAGAATTTGTTCTATTTTCCATTGGACTGTTTCTCAGACTTTTTGCTCTCCCCTCCCCCCACTTTGGAAATCTATTCTTTTTTCCCCCACTGATCCAGTCATCTTTTGACCTAGTGGTAGTCATCTTTCTGTAACCAAGTCTATGCTTATGGCCCCATACAGGTAACTTATTGCTGTTTCATGAAATGATCCAGACATAGCCTTTATAAAAAGATGTTTTTTCCCACTCATAAAATATTTTCAGATGTTTCAAAGCAATAGCTTTCTCAATCACATTAGGGCAGTCGTTCTCAACCTGTGGGTCCCCAGATGTTTTGGCCTTCAACTCTCAGAAATCCTAACAGCTGGTAAACTGACTGGAATTTCTGTGAATTGTAGGCCAAAACACCTGGGAACCCACAGGATGAGAACTGCTGCATTATAGTATTTAGATTGTGCAGCATTCCAACTTGTTTACTGCAAAGTTACACAGTTGCTCAAATTCCTGTAGGGTTTTGGGAAAGTGTGTGCTTGTTCATGTTGAGAAGAAGACGAACAACAACAAGAAGAGATTCCACAAAGTTGTGGAAACTTCTGATGTGTTGTTTTCCTTCCTGCATAAGTTTCTCAAGGGGCCATGGACTTTAAATCCAACACCAGTCTGGAAATTAGCACATTTCCATTCCATCCCTATAGGACAGTATTGTTTTTCTATATTGCTACTGAAGTTAGCAGTATAGTAGAAGAATGCTCTGGTGTTCTGAAAACCACCAAATAAGATAAAAACAAAGCTGCCTGAAACTGTTTCATTAAGCCTCTGTTATTGGCAAGGAGAACATGTGGGACAATTAACCTTCCCTAAATCTTGCTTCATTAAAATTTAAGCAGATGCTATTGATCATTTCTACTCTGCATGGTGTCTACTGAAAACAAGCAGAGCTGGCACTGTTGCATATTTAAAAAGACAACATCCTGAGTGGTGGTCAGTGTTACAAGTCATGCATTCTTGTAAAT